CAGGGGCTGTGACAGCCTCAAAAAATTATTTTGTTTAGACACACTAAGGAGAATCTGATCATTAGATGTAAAGGGAGAAATGCTCTCATCTTTATGTGTGCCAGCCCAAAGATGTGTAGCAGAATGTTGTACTGTACTTCATAACAATGCAATAATGGAAACTTCTATTCCACATGTAAAGCACATTACAATAACCCAGCCGCAGTTATAAAGACCTCTTAAAATCCTTCCTACGTCCAATTGACTTTGTTTAGGCCAGCTGCCTTGGCTGATAATAAAAGCACTGGATGTAGATGTTTTACATTTGACACAACTCCCCCAATCCGAGAACTCCCTACCCAAACAACCACACAACTGACTAAGCATCCCATTCATTCAAGTTTCCGTTTTCAATCATGTATCATGTTTCACTTATGTTTGATGAGATCGCTGACTCTTTTGTCAATTCCTGTTTGTGGTATCCTTGTAGCAGCCCCCCAAAACCCCCCCCCCCCCTTGCTCCTCTCTTTGCCTCCCTTTCACAGCCAAGCTGTCAAGGGGAGCATGTTGTTGTTAAAAATGAGACAGGGCAACATCAGGGCAACATGTGATTAGCATTCATTGCACCATCTCCTGTTCTCGAGGTATTTTATTACCACAGGTGCAGGAGCATTCACTGATCAGATGCACGCTATAGGCGAGGTTAGCTCTTAATTGAAAACAGCTTTATTTATACACCTGCAGGCACTAAAGGTCTCAGAGAAAGCAAAGGGAAGCTGAAAAGGGTGGGGTGGGGCAGTGACAGAGCAGTGAAAAAAGATGTGCCTTGGGAGGGATAGTTTATAGCCCACAGGGAAGGGAATTGCATTCTGAAAACAGTTTGCTACCCAGTGAAAATAAGACAATATATATGCAGGTGCAAATTTCTGCAGAGAGGGTCACTGCTACAGGCAGAAACACTGCACTGAGTGCACATTTAATATAAAGAAATGATTTTTGTTTCATTTATTTTTTTCAGATATGAAACATTGTCTTTGTGAGGACATGATGGTATTCTGATCTAGCAAAACATTGTCCTAATTAGGTTTAGCCATATTGCAGTTGTGACTTTGTATTCAGGGGGCCAAGGTTTTTAAATGCAACCATAACAGGAAGCGATGGAGTCAGTTCAGCAGAGGTCCAATCAGAAAACTACAAGGAGAGGAAAAATCTACACATATTCTCTGTTAAAGTCTCTGTAGGATCAAATATCCCTTGATGGGAAAGCAATAAAAGGTAGTTTTATGTATGTTTTAGGTGGATGTGCTGCAGTGCCCAATTTATATTTTCTGATGACAAAGAAAGAAAAAAAAAAGATCAATAAAATGATAAGCATTAATCTACCACTATCAGCAAAAATATTTGTCATGCACTTATACTGTCCTGAAATGCCTTTGAGAGGAAAGGAATATATGTTTTTGCTACAAGCTAAGCTTCTCATAGCTCTGTTTTGGAAAAAAGTCCAAGCACCACATGTAAATGACTGGCTGAAAGAAATGGCAACTAACATGGTCATGGAAAAAAATCACTTTATATTGAAAGGTATAGTAAATATAAAACATCTGAGGAGATATGGTATCCATTCCTATCCTTTCTGGAAGTGGGTGGAGGTAACGGGATGTCCAGTGTAAGCAATACTGACACCAACTGAGAAGCATTTTATTTATTAATTTACTTTTTTTGTTATTATTTATAGTTTTGTTCTTTCTGTTATATTGTTGTAATATTAATTTGGAGTATGTTTGGATTTGTTTATATATACTGTGCTGTACTATTCTTCAGTGTGTGTTAAAATGTAATAAAAATATTTTGGAAAAAAAAAATTGGTTGCATCATTCAAAAATAATAGCTTCTGATCTACCATTACAGTCTTCAACTTACATTAAGATTGCTCTGGAATTTTCGGCATTTAATTTCTTACTGCTTTAATCCAAATTTTTACAGGGAGAGGTAGCCTAGTGGTTACAGCAGAAAGCGGGGAAGGCTGCAAGTACCCTTGTTTAAAGTCCTAAAGACTTCCACTATGGGTACCTAAGTGGGACCCTCAGCTCTGTGGTCACGGCACAGTCAACCACTGCTCCTTAAGTATTGGTTAAACACAAAGGAAGATTTGTGTGAGTTATGGATCTCAGGATCTAATCTCTCTAGATTTAAGAATTTAATTGAGAAAATGCACCTGTGTTCATTGTCCATAACATACACCTGCCCATATGATAAACCTCTAAACAACAGGTGATACCCTAACAACGTTGACATATTTATCCTCACAATGTCATACCTGCTTTCTGCCATCTTCCTTATACAGCGAAAATTTGAATTTGTTTGTGTTGGGGATCAAATATCAATGATGTAAGCAAGAGCGACTCCCCCTGACGCCACATCCCTGCATAAAGTTTACTTAAGAAGCTGACTCCATCCAAAGGCTCTCTGCCCTGAAGCTCACAAGCCTTGAAAGGGGAGACACAAACCGGTTTTCAGCTGAAGTTTACATTGTAGCCACTAAAACCTATCCAGAGGAGTCTGTGTCCGCTGGCCGAATCACACTGCAATCTGCCTATGATTCAGTAGAGCTGGAAGCAGTGTCTTATTTTTCATGTGTATCAAACCAGCTTGAACGCAGTTTTTTCTAAACCCACCTGCTGAAGCAGATGAGAAACCACCATTCTTCTGGCCAACCCACAGAACAGCCGAGCCCAGTTTGTTTGGAGCTTTGATGTTTTATCGACCGACCAATGCGTACAGTAGTCAGCATTTTTTTGAGGTGTGCGATGATGGTTGCAGAACCTCTGCGAGGGGGCATGGTCGAAACAGATTTGATGGTTGCAGCGGCTATGTGTCAGAAGCATAAATTGGCCTTTAGGCTACTACAGTTAAACTGGCTAGCATTGTTAACTCCAAGCTACTTCATTGCCAGTCCTAAAGTAGCAGCCATGTTGTGAGTCCCCTAACTCTTTAGTTTTAGCTTGCCCATCCCAGAACCATTCTTACCAGCGTCACTATATTTTGATGCATCTCTCAGTCTTTTTTCACTCTAAACTGGGTAAAATTTCACTACTTTATTCACATTTAACATCTCTGCTTCAGAGTTATTAACATTTATCTACTGCTATTTTAAATGACACTTTGAATGCGTTAAGCTTTAAAACTTGAAAATACCTCAGAGACTCTGGAATGGACTCTTAAAACCTCTATTTATTTGCCTTTATTTCTTGTGCTTATTTTCAGTAGTGTTTAGCGCTATTATATACAATAATACTGTGTGATTATTAGCTTAAACAGGTACCACTGTATTTTAACCCATGGTTTGGAGAGTGCTCGCTACATTCGAGGATGCAGGATTAAATGTAGTCCTGAGGTTAGATTATCATCTGTCAAATTGTTTGTCGGGAAGTAAACTGCAAGGCTTCCTGTTCGGGATTATGATGTCTCTAAATGCTTCAATACCAGACTTTTAAAATATTTCTTGAAGACACATGTAAGGCGACAGGCCTGCATGCATGACTAGGATGATTTTGGAGCACTTGAAGCTGGAAGGAACCTCAGAAAGCTTTAGACATTTGTCGATGATTTAAGTGAAGACTGAAGCCGATTAGACAGGATGGCGTGTAGAGAAATACCATCTGGAGTTTTTTTGTTTTTTTATACTGAAAACCTCTAATTACATCTTCCTTTGTGATCTCAAATGTCAGCAGCATGTCATATAAGGGAAGGTGAAATGGGTGTTTGTTTTTAGTATATATTATATTTGTAAGAAGAAAAGCATCAAGGTTTGTTCAATTCGACAACACCTGGGAGAAAGACAATGCTGTAAGAACTGTTTGACCAGATTTCATTTATATTAGGAAGCCTTAAAAATCTAAAGGTTTCATTTTCAAGCATTGGAAAATGTAAAACGACTTCACAGAGACTTTCTCCAAACATTTAAAACTTCAGTGCAGTGATATTGAATTTCATAATCTTTATGATGATCTTAATGATGGAAAAAAATGCTTTACTGAACTATACTGTGTCAGGACCTCAAAAACAAGATCTGGGTTTTTAAAAGAGACGCAGGGATGTAGATCTTGGACAGTGAGCAGAATGCTGTGTGTATACAACTTCCAAATGTTCCCACAACACATTTCCCTAGATCCTGTTGGGACAAGATGAAAGGCTCTGTGCCCTAACATCACTGTAACTGCAGGTGTGGAGGCTCCCATTTCACCAATGTCACTGATGTTCGCAGACGTTTCTGGGGGTAGGGGAGGGGGGCAGATCTGAGACATCTGCACATTTGGATAAGCATCTGAGAGTTCAATCAAATTCAGCACCTCACAGGTAAATGTTTGGATACTCTAAAGCCCCATGTGTGTGTGGGTGGGACGGTGGTGAGCGCCCTTAATTGTCTGTTCTGGCTTGTCATCAAAGGAGATATAACAACCACAAGACTGTGTGGGGACTCAGAACAATGTCTGTGTGATCACTTTCCTCAGGGGGGCAGTTTGTTGGAAACTCCGCTTTGTAGGAATGTGTTTTGACCTGTTCATGCTAACAGTTCCTTGCTGAAATTAAACAGGGAAGATTTGCTTCAATAAAAACCTTGTTGACACGTGGAGTGGAGCAGATAAAGTGCTAGACCTTGTCCATCTACGCTGAAAGGGGGTTATAATGATAAAGATAAAGTGAAGTTTACTCTTATAAAAAAAAAAACGTTGAGATCTTGTCTTAAAATAAATTGTTAGAGGAAAAAATAATTAAAAAGGTTTGTACATTTGCATGAAAAGGCAGAACTAGATTTTCAAACAGCAAAAATTACACCCAGAGGTTCCAGAATTAATCTCTGCAACAACTGCTTGAGAACTTGTCCATGAGCACCATAATCAGAATTGAAAAGCCAAATAAAACTTATGCAGTATTGTGATATTGATGAATTCTACAAGTACTTTGTGTGCATCCTGTAAGCCATACAGATAAAACATTGCCTTGCTGAGAAGCCAACTCACATTGGGCGGCTCCTGCTGTAGAGATCGCTGCTCTGTTCAGTCTTTGCAGCCTCTGCAGCTGCTTTCCTCTCCTCAAATTCCTCCCTGCTCAGGATCATGCCCTTGTGGCCGTTCTCCACCAGCTTGCGGGCCAACTCCCTGTTCTGCGAGAGACAAGAAAAGGTGAGGAGTCGGGCAGTGAGAGGCGAGAATGCCTATAGTTGGGGCTGGACGTCACCAGGCATTGCCAATCATAAATTTTGGCAAGGATTTAGCCAATGTTTGGAATTTGTTTGTCATGCTGGTGTGTGTGGATTCAAGTTATTTTCACCACCACACCCAAACTATAAAAGGAAAACCTGCTATGCATCACCACAAGGTTTAGTTTATGGGTTTTGTGATTTGATGCCTTTTCTCGGACTCATTCATCCTCTAAATGTCCGCATGTTTCCATGTGTGTGTGAGGGAGCATGTGTTTCTGCCCAAATTTTTCTAATCACTGTTAGCAGACCCACCATCCCTGAAGCCAAGTCATAAAGTCATCATCTTAAAAGCTAATCTTGCCATCAAATTCAGTGGCTTGTCAGATCAAAGCATCTGCCACATGTCCACTTACTAAGAATCCCAGCTGGGATCCGAGAGGAAAAGTTCTATTTTCCTCTAACTTTGATCTGGCGCACCAGAAATGAGTTTCAGACATGTGCCTTTCCAAGAGTTGGCCTGAAAATCAGTGTAATTATTCTTAGGCTCATTGAATCAGTCTATTTAAAAGCATCAGAACAGTACCTGGATTAATACTCTGTGACTCTGTAACATGCCCTTTTAACCCTGATATTTCTCTGAACACACATCGTTTACTTTGACAAGATCTCAAGACATCACTAATGTAGGTTAGCAAACAGGTTTATAATAAACTGAACTTTTAGAGATCTGTTTTCTGCACATCTTAGATAACCTGTGCTGACAGTTGTTTCACAACACATGCTGGAGTGCACTGGATTTAATGAAGCAGATCAGATATGAGTTGGTCTCTTCTCTTTGTGGACACAGGTGTTCAAACAAACTGGCTCCTGAAAAAACTTCATATATCATTAGCAAGTGTGCCATCTGCTGGATACAAGCAGAATTGTTCTTATGAAATACTGTGGGGATTGGCTGCTGTTTGCAGATTACTGCCACTAACAGTTTTATTAGCCAAAGAATATATATTTTATAACAACAATAAAAAACATAGCTTTGTTTTTTGTGCTGGCTCTAATTTGTGGTAGATCAATGGTAAGGAGTTCAGGATGCAAACCCAAATTTCCCTCCTCTCAGTGACAATCAACTCCTTATGGGAGATATCAGGCTGCTGTCTGACCAAAGGATATGCACAGTCTATCTCTGGGTTCTGGCTAGAGAGCGTCCTCTTAGTCAGTTGTGCCAAAGTTGTATGCCAAGGGGCAGCGACTTTCAGTCCACCTTCCCCTGCACAATATCCCATTGATGGTTACGGAAATCCAGCGGAGAAAGCTAAATACAGCTATACAGGACTTTTTATTTTAGCCAAACCAAAGAAATGTCTGCTTCTGATCTGAGTGGCTCTAGCTCTGGGGATGGCAGTCATACAGAAAGTTGTTCAATAATCTCAATGAATGCTAGAATGAAAACATGGGGACTCTAGGGTAAATGAGGACTACAAAATGACTAGATGGACGAGTTTGCAGCCAAGCAGTTAGTCATACCTTGATTTCTCACACTAAGCTGGAGTTAGCAAGTCCAACTTAAGCCCTGAATGGGTGGAAGATTGGGAAATATTTCATTACAACCTAGGCAGATGATAACAACAGGGTTGCTGATAAGGAGTTAAGGTGCAAAAAAGGGCTTCATTATATCCAAAAGTGTCCAGGAGACTCCATTTGAGGTACAAAACTACATTTTAACCAGTGCAAAGCTGTGCAAAAAAACATTTACAGCAGAGGACCTGTCAATGTTGGACAACATGTGATCTCATCCTTTATTCATTCATATAAAGGATGAGTGGCACCACTACCACGGGAGTGGTGCCAGGGTGGCATGGTTAGGGCATAGGGCTTGGAATCCTGACATTGTGAGTTCGAAACCCACTCCCACAGACTTCCACTCTGGGCCTCTGAACAACACCCTTAAACCCCAGGCGCTGCAAATGGCAGCCGACTGCTCCCTAACGGGATGTGTTAAATGTCGAGAGTGAATTTCATTGTGCTGTACTTGTGACAGTGTAATGACAATAAAAACGCTGGAATACTTTTGGAAACAGCTGGTTATAAAAATTGGAATAGAAAGCCATTTTTATCAAAATAAAAAGCAAAGAGGAAATGACAGTGAATGTTATGACAGAAATTAGATAGGTGGGTTTGGTTAAAATTATTTAGAGTATATGAAAACGTAAATTTAAAATAATCTGCCAAAGAGGCGTCATGTTCACAACCATGAAACACAGTTACGATAAAGTCTGGAGCAAGCTTTAAACGGTATAGCTCATGTCTATCAAATCCTAGAATGTGAGGAACAGGCCTCGTATTAATCTTTTCGATACATTATCGCTTTGGTTTATCTCAGAATGTACCAGATAGTATACCATATTAGGATGTTAGAGATACACTTTCATCATTTTCTGAAGCACACAGGACTCCATTTTTATTCTGCATGTGACAGATGGCAGAAAACTACAAAATATCTTATCTAAGGCATATTTCCGACAGTTCGAAACATTTTAGATATTATTTGCATGGAGAGAAAAAAATCCATGAGTTCTGTGGGGTTTCTAAGTGGAGTATCCTGTTGTAGTTCATGTGTGGGATTGCTTCCCATCCAACCCTACACAACACTAATGAATAAATAAAGGATGACATCACATGTTGTCCAAGGGTAAACCCTCCGCAGGGTCCAGAAGTTTATATCCAGCATGACATAAATAATTGTTTAAGTAATGAAGAATACTGATCCACTATTTTAATATTGACTCTTTAAATACATCTGATATACTTGCAGATAAACTCCCTTTGCCATGTTTAGCAGGGTTTATAATGTATAGAACGAAAAACCACAATAGGGACCGTAAGGAAAATAAACTAGGTGGTGCGTTTCAATTCCCTGTAAAAAAAAAACAAAACAACAACATTATTGTGGTTATGAGATGCTCAAAGTCTCATTCAATTTTGCCAAATAACAAATTGCAACAAATTCTACTTAGAACTGTTTCTGAAAATGTAAGATTGTCTGAACAATAAATAGGACACTTTATTACATTATAGCATATTAGACAGTAAGCCACATGAACTAATACAAAATAAGGTTGTGTAAAATAATTTGCGTACAACGGAAAAAAGGTAAATTCATTAAATGTTTTGCAATTCAAAATAGGTAATATACCGCCATCTAGTGTGCAACAGTATTTACTACACCAGTACGGCCTCTAGAGCGTGTAAAGGCATTTCCTGCAACTTATACTGTTATGCATGAACGTAAATTAGGTTTATCAATATAGATGCTTATTATAACAACACGATAATATGAGGATATATTGTTTTATCTAAAATTCTAACATTTTTATCAAGAATCCAAATACTTTCCTGTGATACTTACTTAACTAACTAACTAAGTACCAACTTAAAAAAAAAAAAAAAAAAACATTGCCGAGAGAGAAAATTATGAATGTTTAATAAATTACTTAATGAAAAGAAAGTTCCGGTAGAAGAACAGGCTAGAGAAAAGGCCATTGACTGCAAACAGTTCAAAAGTTTTCAAACGACGAGAGTTTGGTTTGCAACCCAGATAACTAACTCTGAATAACTTACTTTTAAATAAAATAAATCCGTTGGAGTAACTTTAGAGTCCAAATAATCTACATAGTCTTTAAAGTCGGCGAGGAAACGGTAAAGATGTCCAACTTTGGTGAGCTCCATCTTTGAGCCCTTGTTGTTTGGAAATGCTGCCATGGCAACTGTGTTACGGAACCATGTCATGAATCGATGAGCCAAAGTATACCCGACCTATGTACTTTTAGTGTACTTGAAATATTACTAAAGTAATACTTCTTCGAACTAAATTGGAACATTTTTATGTTTACAAAACTATACTTAAAATATAATGTTCAAGATCATTTTAAGTTTACTAAATTATACATTAAAGTGTTACACAAGTACAGTAATCAATATAGTAGAAGTTTACAAGGTATACTGTACTTGTGGTTCACATTTAAGTTTATTGAAGTATATTTAAAGTATACCACCAATATACTTTTCAATATCCTGCCAATGTACTAGTTATACAGTGCTAGTCCAAATTTTTACACATTCAAGAATTACTAAAACTACAATATTATTTTTGCTATTTTAATTTGTATATTATCAGTATACTTAAGCTAACTTGCCATATTTGAATTATTTTGAATAGAAAAGCATCTAATAAAGTATTTACTTTACTTATTAGTATAAATTTAGTATTTATTTATCTTTAGTGTTAATTAATTAGAAGGAATACAGCTTTAGAAACTTTGACCAGGACTTCTGATGGCTACACCGAATCAGAGCATCTCCAAAAACTACAGATTTTGTATTTCTGCTCTGTGCTTACTTCCTATCAAAACTTGTCCAAGAATGGATGACCAAATTTATTGTTTCACATTTAGTGCAAAGGCTGGTCCTGATCCAACAGAAAACATATACCTCAAATTGCTAAAGAAGTTGTTTCTTATACAAAGTTTATACAATACACAATGCATTTTAGCTTATTTCTCTCAGCTTCATTAACTGCAGAGTAATCTAGTCCCAGTCCCTCCTAGACTAGTCCCATAAACCTAAGCCCAATACTGAATTGGGTTCTATTTGTTATTTTATTTTGTTAGTTTTTTTTTTGTTTGTGGATTACATGCATTGTCAATATTAAAGCATTTTATTATTCTATCTTCACTATAACACCAAGTATGTTATAAATTAATGTACATAGATTAAACAGACCAACTAAAAACCTGTATTAAAACTTTATATCAACTTCTAGAACACCATTTCCTTTGTTGAAGAGTTTTGTTGCCAGAGAGGCTGTTCAAAAGCCCCTGTTGGTAAACTAACTTTGCATAAAGAAGTCCTTGAAGTCAGGCACACATTTTAAATATAACATTGAATACATTGTCAGAATTTTTTAATCTTAATGAAAATAAGAAAATATATTATTTAACCCCTTCTCCTTGATCTACACAGATAAATGATCATATTACAGGTGTTATTAAATCAATAGTGACTTCTTTGTTGAAAAAGGAAGGATTTAAAATTTGTAATTTTAGCGATTAAGGTAGTACATATTTTTTGGGGTAAAAAAAGTCTTTTGTCAAATTGGTTAGGTTAATCTAGACTCCAGATAATATATAAATATATATATATTCAGAGCTAATATGAACATCAGCCCTGGAACCAAATCCCTTGACTTTTATCAAAATCTCAGAGGACTGTCCCCAAATCTTAACAAAGATTTCCAAAAATCATTACAAAATAGAATGAAAAAGAGCAGGTAGACCTTTAAGCTCAGAAACAGAACGGCACAGATCACATCTATTTTTCATCGCAGTGTTCAATATTTAAGTATGGGTTTATTTCTGGGTAAGAAAACACTGGTTGACCTCAGAAATGAGACAAAGCTTGCATGACAGTCTTTAATGTTTAACCTAAAGAAGCAGCATATTTCTTTTTATGACCTTCACATTTTTGGCTACTTACTGAGAGTACAGATGACATGTCAGCAGGAAGAGGGGGTGCTAAGATAAGTAAAAAAAAAACACCAAAAGTAAAAAAACAAAAAAACAACTTGGTGATACTTTCAGTAACTCTGCACCAATGATCACGACATTAAAATAATAAACAACTGTCAGGCTGCTTGGAAGGAATAACTGTGAATGAAGAATTTTTCCCAGCATTATAAATGATCTGAATCTTGACTTTGGAGCAAAGATGTTCGCTTTATCCTCCTATTGTAAACTGTTGCAATAAAAGTTATTTTAGGCACCTATTGTGTTCCCCTTTGGTTCCTGGCTTAGATTGGAAAATACATTTATAATTTTGAATTAATATGTGTTTGAGGCAAGACTATTTCTTATTTAGGATTAGAATACGATGTACAACTGCAATAAAAACAAACAGACAAAGAAACAGATTTTTAACCACTCAAAAAGTTTTTATCTGAACTCATAAACCTCCACTAAGGTATTGAACTTTCAGATTTAGATTTTAGGCTCTTCATAGAGACAAATCAATATGTTAATGGGTTCAAATGTTGAATCATTAGTCCCAAGGTAGGAGAAATCCCCCCAGACCAGACATCTGATAGCAAAGTGAGAACCTTGGTGAATGAGACGAACCCAGGAATGGTTTTAAGGTAAAAAAAAAAAAAAAAAGAAAAAAAAAGAGAAAGAATAACACAAAGCTGTCATGGTCCCAAAGGTTTTGGATATGGTCTATTCTCTCAAACCTGTCAGTAAGTATATATTTCTGTCATTAAAGTACCAGAGACTCTCTCTAAATATCACCTTGGGATTACAGTGAAATATGATATCCTCTAATGTTTCAGAACTTGGAAAGCAATTATGCATTCATGAAACATGCTTGATACTTCATACGCTTACAGGTGCTGGTCATAAAATTAGAATATCATGAAAAAGTAGATTGATTTCAGTAATTCCATTTAAAAAGTGAAAATTGTATATTATATTCATACATTACATACAAACTCATATATTTCAGATGTTTATTTTGTTTAATTTTGATGATTACAAATGACAACAAATGAAAATCTCAAATTCATCATATCAGAAAATTAGAATATTACTGAAGACCAATAAAAACAAAGGATTTATAGAAATGTTGGCCAACTGAAAAGTATGAACATGAAAAGTATGAGCATGTACAGCACTCAGTATTTAGTTGGGCCTCCTTTGGCCTGTATTACTGCAGCAATGCGGCGTGGCATGGAGTCGATCAGTCTGTGGCACTGCTCAGGTGTTATGATAGCCCAGGTTGCTCTAATAGTGGCTTTTAGCTCTTCTGAATTGTTGGGTCTGGTGTATTGCATCTTCTTCTTCACAATACCCCATAGATTTTCTATGGGGTTAAGGTCAGGAGAGTTTGCTGGCCAATTAAGAACAGGGATACCATGGTCCTTCAACCAGGTACTGGTAGCTTTGGCACTGTGTGCAGGTGCCAAGTCCTGTTGGAAAATGAAATCTGCATCTCCAAAAAGTTGGTCAGCTGCAGGAAGCATGAAGTGCTCTAAAACTTCCTGGTATGTGGCTGCGTTGACCCTGGACCTCAGAAAACACAATGGACCAACACCAGCAGATGACATGGCACCCCAAACCATCACTGACTGTGGAAACTTTACACTGGACTTCAAGCAACGTGGATGAAGTGCCTCTCTTCTTTTCCTCCAGACTCTGGGACCTTGATTTCCAAAGGAAATGCAAAATTTACTTTCATCAGAGAACATGACTTTGGACCACTCACCAGCAGTCCAGTCCTGTTTCTCTTTAGCCCAGGCAAGACGCTTCTGACGCTGTCTGTGGTTCAAGAGTGGCTTGACACAAGGAATGCGACAGCAGAAACCCATGTCTTTCATACGTCTGTGTGTGGTGGTTCTTGAAGCACTCACTCCAGCTGCAGTCCACTCTTTGTGAATCTCCCCCACATTTTTGAATGGGTTTTGTTTCACAATCCTCTCCAGGGTGCGGTTATCTCTCTTGCTTGTACACTTTTTTCGACCACATCTTTTCCTTCCCTTCGCCTCTCTATTAATGTGCTTGGACACTGAGCTCTGTGAACAGCCAGCCTCTTTAGCGATGACCTTTTGTGTCTTGCCCTCCTTGTGCAAGGTGTCGATGGTCGTCTTTTGGACAACTGTCAAGTCAGCAGTCTTCCCCATGATTGTGTAGCCTATAGAACTAGACTGAAAGACCATTTAAAGGCTTTTGCAGGTGGTTTGAGTTAATTAGCTGATTAGAGTGTGGCACCAGGGGCCATCAATTTTGAACCTTTTCACAATATTCTAATTTTCTGATATGATGAATTTGAGATTTTCATTTGTTGTCATTTGTAATCATCAAAATTAAACAAAATAAACATCTGAAATATATGAGTTTGTATGTAATGTATGAATATAATATACAAGTTTCACTTTTTAAATGGAATTACTGAAATCAATCTACTTTTTCATGATATTCTAATTTTATGACCAGCACCTGTATAGTAAAGCAGAATTATTTCTGTTTTCTGAACAGCATCTGTTAGGAAAATCCAGAAAATATTTGTACTGTTTTATATTATAAACTCTCCACCATACTGATGTTTATGTAAAATGCTTATAAAAACTGTTTCCTTTAACAATGCATGTGGAAAACAACACCAACAGTTAACAGTCATTTGCTGAATGCTTTTTTTTTTCACTTGTTTTCATCAGTTTTAACATTTTCAGTAGTGGTAATATTCAAGTGTGAAATAAGGGTATGTTTTACAATAAATTTATGCATCTAAACTTATCCATCAGTAGGCTTTTGCTTTTTGCATCACTTTCTTTTTATTCGATTGCATTTGTAAAACACAATTGAAATTCCTTATCTTAAATGAATTACTGCTCTCAAAGCACATAAGGGGTGTATTTAAGACCATTTACTGATAATAATAGTTTCCTCTCATTTTCTAACAATAGAAATATTTTTTTATTTAGACCAACATAGAGTTGGACTCCATTTCATTTAATTGACAGTCTGATTCCTATGAACTTTTTCATTCAGTCTAACTTTTATGTGAGCTTAAGGATACAAATCTAACTCCTGTTTGGTGACAAAAATACGGCAGCAGAAGAGACGGCAGGACAATAGATTTAGCGTTCATGTCTGGGGGGAGGAAGTAAACCTGCAAAAAAGGCCTGCAGTCTGCCTGCAGTCAATTTTAATATCTCGTGCCAATCTATGAGTTACAGGGGCTTCTCTTTTATCAGGAGAATCCTTGCTGCCCTGTTTGCCCTGAGACAA